CTATTGTCGCATGTGTAAACGAAAAAGAGAGTGTGGGTCGTTCATGTAACAGAGTGCATAAACTTATAAGATTATCTGCTTGATAAAGTTATCGGTTTAGATGAATACCACTAATTTTAATTAAATACTTTTTATACATAGATATGCTGCAACCATGCACTTACTTTCCCAAATTCCATCCTGCTTATCGGCATAATTTTCCAAATATGCCTGCTACTTCATTACTAATTACTCAATTTTCCAACTGCGCTTTCTTTGTTGGCTCGACATATCCTAAAAAGACGAATTTACATTAAACAATAGAAATCGCAAAAATTAGCAAATAAAATACTCGCTTTGTTTTGTTTTGTTGTCAAATTTCTGAGAAATGTGAATTCACCACGATGCGATACAGAAAGAACAAGGACCAGGGATGTAATTTTAAGTAAATCTATTATTCAGTGGCAAGGCGCAGAGCGTTCGGGGCAGCAATATTAATTTGTATCAAATATAACATTAAACGGTGTTCTAATACATTTTTTGATATTATTAACCAGAGTACATACATTATATGGTATTTCTTTCAAAATTAATGTATTATATGAACTTTTTTTTTAAATATTTCTTAAGTTTCTTTCATGAGTGCTGAAAAGCAACCATGCGTGTAAGAAATTGTGTGCTACCTAAAATTTCACCTCTGGAAACTTTATCCCCATAAAGGACTTCACCACAGTTTTTTTACTGGATATATGCTTGAAATACAATACCGGCGAACGGCAAACTTCGCCGAATTGGGCGATGCTGTCGTTCACCGTTCGCCCAACTATTTCGCCTACTTAAACAGAATTAGAGCGGTAGCGAAAACAGCTGATCCCATTTGGTCGCCTTTATAATTTGGGTGACTATATTTAGAAAAAACTAAACCCTATTTAGAAATGAGGAAATGATAACAAATATAAATAAAACAAAGAAAGATTATTATAAATAATTTGTTTCAAGCCAGATTTAACGAATCCACAACTATATTTTTCAAACACCAAAAAAAAAATCGTGTTTAGGTTGTTTTCTTTTTAAACTTTGAAAGCACAAAACAAATACGGCCACCTTTGGCACGCACAGCTGTCATTGCCCAGCAGAGCGATAGAAATAAATCTATCGCCATGAAACGCCGCCAAGCGAACTTCGCATTTCGCTTTGGCTGTGTTCAATTTCATATGCTTGCGGGTGTTCTAATTTTGACAGCGCGAATTTCGCTGTGGTGAGTTCGCCGTTCGCCGGCATTGTATTTCAGCTAATACTGAGATGCGCACTACTCACGGTGGAGAGAATACAGAGGTGGCGCCGATGACGATACCGCTACTCGGCTCTCAGTGATTTTGACAGAATCAGCTGTTTTGGTGACGTCATAGTAGAGAAGACAGCAGTAGTGATGTGCTGAGTCAATACTTTTAAGTACCCAATACTCTCGATACTCTGTACCGAAACATTTATGTTTCGAATAAAAGCGCACATAGGCCAAAAATATGGAAAAAACGCCTAACAAAACCCGAATGTAAGGGCCAATAGAGCTTTTTTACTGATTCAAATGAAAGATGTATATATGTCGGTTCGATGCCTAATACAGAGTAACCCTTACTTGTTTGAAGCATTTTTGTTCCAGCTGAATCGGACGATATCATTTTTGAAGGCCTCCCTGCAAAAATCGCGACTACTCCATGCATGCATGTAAAGAGTACACCCGGAGGACCAAGGAGTACTCCAAAATTAACCACAATTCATATAAAAAATATAGTCCAATTAACATTGCGATGTCCTAGGGCAGGACCATATACTCCATCTCTGCATTACATCAGAGTAGCACAAAACTACTCCCAACATACTCCATTGTCGTTATATTTTTTCGTTTGTACACGCTTTTGTTCTTCACTTCGCAGATCCTTTTTTTGAAATTAATAAAAACCAAAAACAAAAATTAAAAATTACATGTTGACTCTGACGACATTCGAACCCGAACATGCTAGGAGCTAAGAACTAACAGCTAGCATCTATACACGTTCAGCTACAGCCAGACATGCAAATGTACTTTCAAATGCTTAACTTCAATCACATTTCGTAAAAACACGAGCAGTGATCGGGTAACAATAAGCTGGTGCAGAGACACGAGTTGGTCCGCTACAGCATGACAGA